CCCCTTCTGGAACCCCTATTATGCATAGATTGGCATGCTGTATATTATCCCATAGGTCCCTTATATTGTTTTCATTTTTATTTCTTTTTCTTTCAGCTTTTCTGATTGGGTGCTTTCTGTTGTCCTGTCTTCTAGGTCACTTATTTGTTCCTCTGCATTATCTAGCTGCTTTGTACAGCCTTTAGATCAGTTCTCATTTCAGCAAATGAGTTTACTAATTCTACTTGGTTCTTCTTTATAGCTTCTGTTTCATTTTTGACATATTTTATATCTCTAAACACTATTTCTTTTAGTTTCTTCAGTACTTTGATCACTCTTTTTTTGAAATCCTGATCTAGTAGGCCATCAATGTCTATTTCCTTGATCGTGCTTTCAGGGGATTTCTCTTGCTCTTTTAATTGGGAGTGGTTCCTTTACTTCCTCATATTGCTCATATCTCTCTGGCACTGTGGCTGGTGGGCGGGTGGGTCACTCCCCCTCCTGATGCTGCAGTCAGATGCTGTGCTCGGGCGAGGCAGGTGGGTGAATCGCGCCCCCTCCCAGCACCGTGGTCAGGTGCTGCATTACTGCCAGGAAGGCGGGTGGCTGCCCGCCCTCTCCTGGCACCGGTAGCTCCACTGCTCTGTGCAGCTGCCTGTTCCACCTCGGGTCGGCGCTCTGAAGGCAGGCTTGGGGAAGACCGTGGAACAGCTCCACCTCTGCTCCATGCCAAATCTCAGCTCCTTGTTGTCTTGGCAGTGTGAGTTCTCTGAGGTGCCGGGGCAGAAAGAGCCTATCTGTCTCAGGCTGTAAACAAGTCTCAGTCCTGCCTAGGAGGTTGTGGAGCCCCCAGATGCGGATTCAGGTCTCAGCCCCAGCCCTGCCCCTGCCTAAGCACTGCACACAGGAGATGGCAGCTGTGGCTGCACCCCACCTCTCTTCTCATGAGAAGTGCCAGTAATGGTGCCACGGGTCAGAGGAGACAAAGGCTACGGTGTCTCTGCCCCCAGGGCACACAAGCCTTGTTGCTTTGCTTTTTCGCAATTTATGGGGGCCCGAGGTTTTTCTGCTCCGTATCCCCTCCCAGCCACAGTGCGCAGCCCCCTGTGGTCCCCGGGGGCTGCCTCAGCACAGCCGCCCCCGTCCTCCACCCCGCTCGGGCGGCCTGGCCCAACCCCAGCTGCCGGCTCACGTCTCGGGCTGGGTGTTGCAGGGACCCTTTGTGCCCATTTAACTCAGTTCTGTTGGTCACTGGGTGCTCGGGGCAGATCTGAGCCTCGGAGGTTCCCCCTCCTTCCTGTCGGCCTCTCTGTTGGAGAGGGGGAGACCCAGCGAAGAAGCGCCATTCCTCCTTTGCTGCTCCCTCCCCGCGGGACAGATCCCACAGTGTTTTGCTTTTTCTTCTTTCTTTTTCCCTTTTTTCCTACCAAATTTTTGGCATCTTTGTCTTTCGAAGAGGGCGATGTTCTGTCAGAATTCAGCAGGTGCTCTGGTTGGCTGAGGGGACCCATAGATGTGAGTTTTGGTGTATTTCTGGGAGGGGGTGAGCTACAAGCGTCCTTCTACTAGGCCATCTT